CTAGTCTCCAAGGGGATGGCTTTGAACTTTTGGTCTTCCTGCTTCCACCTGAGTAGAGTGCTGGGATTGCAGGCATACTTCACACACCCATCATAACAAGGAAAGTGTCTATCTGCAGGGCCTGACTGGGTTCTGGACAGACAGGCTTAGAAATCACAGCACTTTGAACAAATGTACCTTCTTTGTCAGTCCCGTGACCCCTGCCCTAGAGTCTTATTTCAAGCCCTGAGTAACAGGAATCAAAGTCTGGCCAGAACTTTCCTAGGTTTGCCCATGGCCAGGTTTCAATTCAGAAAGTCTTCAGTTCCATTTGGTTCTCTTGGAAGCTTTTATTTTCAGCTCAAATATACACACTATAAGAAATCTTAAGCCTGGTTCTCCTTGGTTACGCCATGGACCCCAGCTCCTAAATGCTCTGGGACAGAGTCTTAAACTGCAAACTGTGACATGGAACCTTGTGTGTAGTGTGTGACTAAATGTGCGAGGGGGTCATGAAAACTCTGGAGATAATAAAACATGCAATGACTAAAAATTAATTCAAAATCAATGTTTCAGGCTGTCAAGATGGCTCATAGGGTCTTTATGTCAAGCCTACTTGAGTTTGATCCCCAGGCTCCATGTGGTGGAAAGAACTGACTCCCACAAGTTACCCTTGTCCACCCCTGTGATGCTCCTGACTACATCTGGGATTAACTAAAACCAAGTGGCTGGGTGCACCTGGGAGGGACTCTTTCTTTCTCTTTCTTCTCTGTCTTTCTTCCTTTCTTCTTTCTTTCCTTCTTTTTTCTTTCTTTCTTTCCTTCTCTTTCTTTTCTTTCCTCTTTCTTTTTTTCTTTCTCTTTCTTTCTTTCCTTCTCTTTCTTCTTTTCTTTCTTTTTTTTTTTTAATTCAAGTGCTTTCTACAAAGCGGTGTAGTTTGCTTGTTTATTTATTTATTTATTTATTTTATGTATATGAACACGCTTGTTTTCACGCACACCAGAAGAGGAATATCAGATTCTATTGCAGATGGTTGTGAACCACCATGTGGTTGCTGGGAATTGAACTCAGGACCCCTGGAAGGGCAGTCAGTGCTCTTAACTGCTGAGCCATCTCTCCAGCCCTCTTTCTTCTTTCTTTCCTTCTCTTTCTTTCTTTCTTCCTTCTCTTTCTTTCTTTCTTCTCCTCCTCCTCTTCCTTCTTTCCCTGTGAAGACAGGGTTTCTCTGTGTAGCCCTGGCTGTCCTCTTGAGTGCTAGGATTAAAGGTGTGTGTTACCACCGCCTGGCTGGAAGGTCTACTTTTAGTCCAGATCCTTTGAGGTGTGAAGATGCAACTTTAATCTGAACCCCACTTTACAGTGGCAGCCTGTAGAAGGTCATGGAAGAAGCAAGCCTGCTCTTTGCCTGCTTGCCCTTGTCTCCTTGGTAAATCTGGTCCTCCACTGGACTGGAGACTTTTTCTTTGGGGTTCTCACTTTTACTGAAGATCAGTAGAGATATCCAGCCTCGTGGACAGCACAGCTACTGGAGCTCTCAGGCTTTTTGTTTTTCTCCTCCCCTGCCCCCGACACAGGGTTTCTCTGTGTAGCCTTGGATGTCCGGGAACTTGCTCTATAGACCAGGCTGGCCTCAAACTCACAGAGATCCATCCACCTGTCTCTGCCTCCCTGAGCTCTGGGATTACAGGCGCTCTACCACCGCCTATCTTTTGGGTTTTCTGTTATAGACACCAGTGTTGGACTAGCTGGATCACAGCCTGTAAGCCACTCTAAAAAATGCCTCATCCATCCACCTCATATAGACATATATGTTCATTCTATCAGTTTTGTTCCTTTAGAGAATGGTGACTAATATAGCCCCTGCCAGCATGGCACATGAGTCCTACCCACATAATAAGTAAATGTAAAAACAATCAAGCACGTTGTAAATCCTGGTTGTTTCTGGCAGCATTTACCTAGGCTGCAGCCTTGGCTCTGAGCAGGCTTGTGCACCCTACCTGTGTGACACCACACTGGCAACGCTGCCTGTGATGCCAAATCTCAAGCTGAGATTTTTGTATATTATAAACTTTGGTGTTTGTACTGTATAAACTTTTTTGCTCTTATACAAACACAAAAGTTTAATTACAAAAAATAAAGACTTCCAGAAATTTCTTACTGTCATTCCTTAGCATGTAGCAAAGTAGTACATCTCCATATGTATGTTAGATTTCATGTTTAATACTTTATACTTTCATTATCTTGTGCATATGTGATGGTAAGTGTGAATGCATGCATGCCATACAATATCTGGGGGTCAAAGGACAACGTGTGGGAGTTACTTCGTCCTCTGCTCCCACCAGGTTCTGAAGATTGAACTCAGGTCCTCAGGCTTATATGGCAAGACTCTGAGCCAGCTCAGAATGTCTGATTTTAAAATCTGGTGCCTGAGTTGCTGATGTGTATTTTATAAAAAGTAACTAAATAAGATGGGTATGGTGGTCCATGTTTTTAGTCCCAGCACTTCGGAGGCAGAGGCAGGAAGAGGATTTGTAAGTTTGAGGCCAGCCTGGTCTTCTATGTGAGTTTCAGGTCAGCGAGAGCTACACAGTGAAGGCCTATCGAAAAACAAACAACCTTCCCACCACACATGCATGCATGCATGAACACACACAGATACCAAACCAAACCAACCAACCAACTAAAAATCAAGAACGGTGTGTGTGTGTGTGTGTGTGTGTGTGTGTGTGTGTGTGTGTGTGCGTGCACGTGCAGACTGGGGCTGGAAAGATGGCTCCATCTGGGGTTTGCTGGCCAGCCAGCCTGGTTTAATTGGTAAGCTCCAGGTGCCAGTGAAGACAAAGGAGGTATGGCCCCTGAGAACAGCATCTGAGGTTGACCTTGGCCTCCACATGTACTCACACCTACACACAACCACACCCACAAACATGCTAACACACTAACACACATAAAACCCCAGACTTGTTGGGGATCAGGAGAAGCCTGGGTCTGAACTCCTCTGGCAACTTCACATGGAGCAAGTACTACCATGTCACTTCAGTCCCTGACACTGAGGCCTCACATCAAGGCAGCTTCTCTTGCAAACATTTGTCTGGTCCTGTGGCATTTATATTTGCAGCAGTGACTTTTAGGAACCTCAGAGGATCAGCAGAACAGGGCTCTTCCTGTTCCTGGACTCAGTTTAAAATCCCGGAAACTTGAAGGCTTTTTTTTTTTTTTTTTTTTAAGATTTATTAATTTATTTATCATGTACAGTGTTCTGTCTGCAAGATCACTAGAAGAGGGCACCAGATCTCATTATAGATGGTTGTGAGCCTTCATGTGGTTGCTGGGAATTGAACTCAGGACCTTTGGAAGAGCAGTCAGTGTTCTTAACCTCTGAGACATCTCTGAAGTCTGAAGGCTTTGTTTTGTCTACTACAATAATTTAAATGGTTAAAAGGAAAACCATTCTTGAGTGTGATCTTCTGGCTTGATGAAAGAGATCAGTGCTTTAGACAGGAGACTCAGAGCTCCCAGAGGGCTGGGAATCCCAGCCCAGCTGCAGGAAAGCAGACAGGGGCTTCTCATCCGGCAGCCAGAATGTGGGATATTCAATGCTTCTCTCCTGCTGGCCTTCCTCCACCCCTTTCCTTCATTCTCCCCTGGCTACCCACACACAGCACCCATGCACAAGCTGTTCTCACTATGTGGTAGCTCTCTAAAGGGAGTGCTTTGGCAAAGCCTAGCACTGAGCCAGAATTCTAATATGCTTCTCAGCTAATAATCATGGCACTGGGGAGCCTTTTCTTTCCAAGACCATGGATTCTATGAAGAAGACGATGCAAAAGCAGGGGGTGGGAGAGATCGCTCAGAGGTTAGGGACTCTGGCTGTTCTTCCAAAGGTCCTGAGTTCCATTCCCAGCAACCACATGGTGGCTTATAATCATCTATAATGAGATCTGGTGCCTTCTTCTAGCCTGCAGGCACACATGTGAGCAGAATACTGAATAAATAATAAATAAATATTTTTAAAAATTGGGCTGTAGACTGATGAATCAGGGCATCATATGAAAGACCTGGGGAAACTTGCCTGAAAGGAAGATGCTGGGACTGCGAAGCGGCAAACCTAGCCTCAGCCCAGACACCAGAGGAGGGAAGTTTCTGCTCTTGCAGCTCCTGCATGTTCACAGTCGTAAACTCAATCCCCACAACAATCGGAGGTGGATATCACTGCTCTAATTTTAAAAGAGCATATTATGGGTAACAATAAACTGGTCCAAGATGGGCATGGCATGGTGCATGCTTATGTACCAGTAACTGTGAGACTGAGGCAGCAAGATTAAGAGCCTGAGTATGTTCAAGGCTAGCCAAGGCTAAATAGAGGAAGAGAGAGAGGGGGAGATGAGAGAGGGAGACGAGAGAGAGAACATCACTCGACCAAGATGGCTTACGAATCAGGCAGAACACTACTTTTCAAAACCCTGTGTCACACAGCCTCTGCTCACTGGCTGCCTCTCGCAACCACCCTCTATAACTGTTTTATTTTCCTCCATAAATCTTGTTACTATTATCACGATACATCCTTTTTTCCTTGTATTTCCTTTTCTGTCTGCCTCTCAACAGAACGTATGTTCCTGGGGAAGAGGCTGCCTGTCTTGTCCCTGTCATTCTGCTGCAGAGAGAACACTGTCTGGAGAATTGCTGGACGTAGGAGAAAGGCAGCTCTGTCCCTCTGTTGCTAAAGGCAGGGCCAGTACACGCTAGGCTCGGGTACCCTCCTTGCCTTACGGGTGTTAGAAGATGGCCAAGTTTCTAGAAATCAAAGAAAAACTTTGTGTGGATATGAGCTTTTTCCAACAAAAGCAAACATGTTTCCTGTTACAGATGCCTCCCCTTCCATTCAACTCCGTTCTACAGCCAGAGGCCCTGGCTGTTCATCCATTCGTATCTGAGAGTTACTAAACCAGAGGACTCATCTTTTCCAAAACCAAGTGCTCAGTCCTAAGTCTGCGAGCCACTGCTGTAAGGCGTTCACTCACCACACAGAGCAATGATGTGGCTGCTATCTTCATGCACAAACTTCCTGGTGACGGCTTCCTCCATGATTTGCTTCACCTGTGAACATATGGGCATCTTCATTATTTTATTTTTGCTGTTCTGCTGATCAAACTCAGGGCAAACACTATTACTCAGGCTAGCATTACTGTTTAAATTTTTCTCCTTAGTATTTATTTCTCTTGGGGTTTGAGGGGATAGCTCAGTGGTCGGGCATATTTTGGACATACAAGGCTCTTGGATTTAATTCCTAGCATCTGAAGGGGTAAAAAAACCAATCAGTAACAAAACAGGCCTCTGGAAAGGTAGACCTTGGTCTGTGTTTTGGGGTACTTGCAGAGATAAGGATGGGAGGCTGGGAAAACAACTGTCCCTTGCATAGTCTGCCTCAAGCTTTGTGGAGAGGATCCACCAACCAATCAGTGCAGAGGTTCCAGTTCAGACAAAAGGGTCCTCCTGCCTAGAAGGCAAGGGTGGGAGGTGATTTGCTCACCCACGCTCAGCTGGAGGGCTTCAGGGCAGACACACTGTTCTCAGGGACAGATGGTCTTCGTACAACCGGCCCCTCCTTTTCCAAGGTTAGGAGTAGGTCCATCCATGTCTTACCAACTCCCATGTGTTCCAGGTAGGTTCTAAACCTCTGACATTTTGGGGTTTGAATTAGAGGCTGGACTGAGCTAGAGTGAGACCCTGTCTCAATTCCCAACCCCCAAAGGCCCATACCGCATTGGGATGTAGCTCCACGGTAGAGTGCCTGTCACTTAAGGTCCCCAGGTGTACTCTCTAGGACCACAAAAGTGCTCTTTCCTTATTCTTTAAGCACAGAAAGAAGGGGGTACAGGATAACCTCACAAGCTTAGTACGTTCTCACACACAGGAAACACAACGAGTACCAGATGCGGTGGTGCACGCCTGAAACCCCGACCCCAGGGATATGGGGGCAAGAGGATCAAGACTTTGAGGCCCAGGCTGGCTCATCAGGTAAAAGTTCCTCCTGAACAAGCCTGATGACCCGAGTTCAATTTCCCAGAACCCATGTCAAAGTGGAGAACACACTGTATAGAACGTCCTCTGACCCACCCAAGTACACAAGGCCACCCTGGTTTACACAGCCAGTACAAGTCTTAAGTTTGGCCTACAAAAATTTGTCTTTAAACAACAAATGAAATAGAACATACAAGCTGTTTGCCAGAGTACTTGCTTTGTTATCTTCCCCTCCAGTCACCACTTTTTCCGAAGAGCACTCAAGTACCCACCATCTTTCCTTCCTTCCATTGTGTGTGTGTGTTAGTGGTAACTGAACCCAGGGTCTTGTGCATGCTGGGCAAGAAAGCCATTTTTCAGGTCTCTTTGTGTTATTGCTGTTTTGAAACAGGGTCTCAAAATGTAGGCTTGGTTGGTCTGGAACTCACTACATAGCCAAGGCTCGCCTTGAACTCACAGAGATCTGCCTGCCTCTGCCTCTTGAGTGCTAGGATCAAAGGCATAAGCCACCAACACCTCTTTTTAATTTTTTTCAGACAGGACCTTACTAAGCTGGTCTGGAACTTACTGTATAATCCATGCACGCCTGGACTTTCCACATGCTACCTGCCCAACCTCTGAGACATTACATTAGTTTTGCACTTAAAAAAGCAATGAAACAGTATGGAGTGTTTGTGACTTGTTTCTTTCACTTTTTTGAATGACTTATGATTCGTTTCTGTTGTATATGATGGAAATGTAGGTTGTTGATTCCCAGTTGTGTGAAGATACCACAGTTCACTGGCATTTAGGCATTTCCAGCTTGGGGTTGTTATGAATCATAAGAACATCTGGACATATCTTCTGGTGAACATATGCAATGGCTTTTTAAAATTTTTATTTCTAGGCAAGGAATATGATGCATATATTGTTTCACTAGATACTGCCAAAATGTTCTCTAAAGTGGCTGCAGCAGTTTACACTTCCATCAACAGTACGAGGTTCTATTGCTCTTAACACATATACCAGATTCGATGGGGAATTTGCCAGGAGCAGATAGCACAGCTGGGAATCAGAGATGGGTTTCCTCAACCCCAGGATAAAATCCTAAGGAAAAGTATGCCATAGCAGAGACAGTCCTTATCTTTTCAGGGATTTATTTATCTTTATTTTATGTGTATGGGTGTACTGCTTGCATGCCTGACGTTTATATGGTACCTGCAGAAGCTAGAAAAAGGCATCAGTTCCTTGGAACTGGAGCTAACAATTGTTAGCTGCTGACTCCTGGGAATCAAACTTGGAAGAGCAGCCAGTGCTCTTAAGGACAGAGCAAGCTCTCCAGTTTTCTCTCTTCTACATTGTTTGTTTTGAGACAGGGTTTCTGTGTGTATAATTTTGGCTGTCCTGGAACTCACTCTGTAGACCAGGCTGGCCTTGAACTCATAGAGCTCTGCCTGCCTCTGCCTCCCTGAGTGCTGAGATTAAAGGCCTGTGCCACCACCACCCAACTTCTCTTCCATTTTCTGAAACAAAGTCTCACTATGTAGCCCAGGCTGCTCTCACACTATATAGCCTAGCCTTAGACTGAAACTTCCTATAATTCTACCTCAGGATCCTGAGTGCTGGATTACAGGCATATGCTCCCATGTTCAGCATTACTCTTTGCCTGTCATCCGTTGGACAGGATGCAGTGTCCTGATGACATCCTGACTCCCAGTGTGTTCTGTTTTATTTTATCTACTTATTTTGAGGTAGGCTGGCTTGGGTATCATAAGAGATCCATCTGGCAGAGTGGTGAGATTAAAGGGAGTAATGACACACACCACCATGACAGCCCAAGGTCCTCTAGTAACATGCGTTCTATGCAGAGTGGCAGAACAGCTGTGGCCTAAGGAGAAATGAAGGGCCTGGAGGTTCCTCCTGCTGGATTGCTCATGGTTAGGGGTTAGGTAGATGAGGATCAGATTGAATCAATCATTGCACTCCAAACTGTTAAAAACGTCCTTGATTACTTCCCAGGGAGTCTAAAGATGTACAGGTGTGAAGCAGCTGGAGGGACATAGACTGGGTCAGGAGGACCTACTGATGCTCTTAGGATCAGTGCAGAGGTCCTCTGTGAGAACAATCCTGCTTCTAGTTCTCAGCTGTCTCTTCTTATAGCTCTTTCTGTAGACCAAGCGTTACAGAGCAGGTAAGCTTTTGCCAGGAAGAAACATCCTTGCAGCACAAATTCAATTTTCAAAGAATCATTCTTGAAACAGTGTCTTTGAGAACTGGGAGGAAAATCATGTTCTCTAAAGTATTTTCCAACATACTTAATCAATTCTCAAATTTGGCTCATAGTTCCTGTACGTCTACGTTCCCCCAAGTCTCTGCCTTACACTGCTTTCTTCTTGGGGAAAATCACTGAGATTTCTCTTTTCTTTGGGGACAAGGCTGGAGCTCAAGACTATTGGGAAAAGCCCTGGCCTAAGAAACCCTCACTTGGTCGCTTCACATCACAAGCACCATGAGGTTGCTCACGAAAGCTGGGAGGGCGATGGCTTTTGACTTTTCTGCCGAGAAGGAAGGGAACAGTTAGGGCACAAGAGCTAGGTCATGGTTAATGCAGAATGAGAGCCCAGGGTCTCCTCAAATCCTGAAACTCTAAGTGTGCATGTAAGCACATGGTATGTTTATGTATGCGAGATAAATAGTATTACCCCGTTTTAAAAAGAGACTAGGAAACCAAGACTTGAAAGAGCTTAATTAACTTTACCTAAGTTCACATAGAACTAAGTCTGCACTGTTCAAGACTTTCCCATCAGACCTCAGTTTCCAAGGTCAGCAGATGTGTGCCAGGCCCTGGATAAACAGTGGACAAGCAGACAGGTTTCTTCACACCTGGGAGACCTAGCTACAGAGGCAGGTTGGGGAAGAAGGCCTCATTCATTTCATGGACACTGCGGGCTCTCTCACAAGCTGGTGAGTCATTCAGCTGGGCAACCCCCACCCCACCCCACCCCACCCCCGAAATTGAAATGAGCTTTTAAGAGGGTCAAGGTAACGGGAATTAGTAGAGAGAAACATTCCTGTTTCTGAAGGATTTCCCTTAAAAGAGGAAAAATAATCTGAGTCTTAAAAACCATTCTTAAAAATACCGGGGTTCCTGGGTAAGGAGGTGGGCGTGGAGGGAGAGACAGTGAAGTGTGCGGCGAACCTTCAGCCGGCCACGACTCACTTGCCAGGGGAATACAAGAGGGCGGTGTTGGACACCCGGGAGCGGAGCCCCTAGATCTCCGGCCCGACGTCTCGGGAGGCCCACAAGGGCCCCGTCCCCTCCCCGGGCAGTACCGGCCATGAATGGGCCACTCGGGTGCTCCAGCGATCTCCGCCACCCCTCCCCCGACCGCGGTCTCCCCGAGCTGCTGCCGTCACAGGGCGGGGAGAGGGAGGAACTGCGGAGCAAACAAGCCCCAGGGCACTAGCCTGACCCTGGCCGAGGGCGCTGCCTGGGGCGCGGAGGGCAGCACGGGACCCCGCCCCCGCCTGGCCCGAGCCCGCAGGCTGGCGGGCGCGCGCGTGGGGGCCACGGCCCCTGTGCTCCCGAGGCAGCGCGGGAGGGGTGCGAACCCCTGAGCCCTGCCCCGACCGTACCTCCTTTTTCACGTTCCACAGCAGCTTTTCTTTGACTGCGTTCTCTGCGCTGCCCATGGTGCGGCAGGTGGCGGGCGGGCGGCACCCCGCGGCCCCGCGCCCCTCCGCGCCTCCCGACTCAGCGCCCCACGCGCGAGGCGGAGCCCCCGGCCGCCGCACTCCCTGCCTGCCGCCGCCGCAGCCACTGCCCTGTGCTCAGCTCCGCAGCCATCTTCCGAGCCCCGCAGACGTCAGGCAGCAGGCCCGGCCCCTTCCCACAGCGGGCAGGGAGGGGGTGTGTGCACCGCGACTGGGGAGGGGGGGGGTCAGGGCGGCGCGGACGCAGGCATGGTTGTCATGGCGACCGGCCGTCTCCCGCCCCGAGGGCGCGAACCCGCATTGTGAGCGCGGGAAGTCAGCTTCTCGCCACGCGCTGCCGAGCGGGCGGACTCTGGAAAGGCGCCTGCGTCTGGGCTAGCCGCCCCCGGCGACTGCTCCCGGCTTCTGGCCCCTCCGAGGGGAGCGAGGAGGCCTGCGTCCGGCTCTGGGTCCCATCGCTCCTCCGAATCCCGCGGCCTGCCGGTAGGTCTCAGTTGCAAAGCCTGTGGGAGAAAGCAAGAACCCGGCCGCGACCTACGGACCCGGAGCCCTTCACGCTATTCAGGGTCTCCACGTTTCATTTGGCTCATCTTGCAGATGGGCACACGCTGGAGCAAGAGGGCCGGCGGGGGTGAGACGAGCCCCTTCTAAGGATTGGCATTGGAAACTCGAGGAAGTGGGGAAAGAGCCACTCAGCTACAGATTTCATCCCTTTCTACAATTCCACGAGACCCGGGAGCGACGTGCAAAATCTACGTGAGAGGGCGACTTCCATTCCCACGTGATGCAACTTTAGCGTGTGAAAAACAGAAAGGTGGGAGCAAAACAGGCCCGCCCTCTGGAGCCGGGGCCGGGACAGCGCAGCCGGCTGCGGCCGGGAGGAGTGGCCGCGGCGGGTCTGCTGGCACACGGGCTGGCGGGAGAAACCTCGCGAGAGGGCGCAGGAGCCCGCCTGAGGCCCGGCTCCCGGGCCGGAAGCGCGCCGGTCGGGCCGGAAGCCGTGCTCGCTCGGTGCACGTGGGCCGCAGGATGGCGGCTCACCGCTCCGGCCCGCTGAAGCAGCAGAATAAAGCTCACAAAGGCGGTCGGCACCACGGTGGTGGGTCCGCCCAGCGGGACAGCAAAGGTGAGTGGACAGGAGGAAGGGCGCTTAGCTGCCCGTGCTCACACCGGGACTAGACTTGGCATCCTTGCTGAAAGCGCTGGGACGTTCTTGTTGGGTAATGGCGAGAACAGCCACTTCTGGTCTGCCTTCCAGGCCGTGTAGGACCGAAGATCCTGAGCAAGAAGCTGAAGAAGCAGCTCAGCCGCGTGGACCAGAGGCACCGCGCCAGCCAGCTCCGAAAGCAGAAAAGGGAGGCGGTGAGAAGAGTCGGGGGTTGGGAGACGGCGCGGCTTACGGTTTTAGATAGGTAACTGACCCAGAAATAGGACGAAAACGGAGGTAATCTCGGGGTACCTTTCGGGCCGCGTTCCTTTTAGTCTGTGGCCCTGCCAAACGCCTTGACAAGTCATACACGTGGCTTGCAACGAGAGAATGCTTGGTCCGTGGGTATCTGTAGTACACGGACTGCTGCTCTTTTTGCAGGCTATTGTGATTTTGTTTTAACAAAGAGTCTCATTATGTAGCCCTGGCTGGCCTAGAGCGTCCTGAGTATGTCGGCTGGCCTCAGATTCAAAGAGCTCCCCCTGCCTCTCCTAAATGCTCAGATTAAAGGCCTGGCCATTTTGATCTTTTCTTTTTAAGAAAGAGTTTATTATTTTTATTCTATGTGTATTGGTGTTTTGCCTACATGTATGTCTGTGGGTGTCATATCTTGGAGTTACAGACAGTTGTGAGCTCCACGTGTGTGCTCCCAGTCTTCTGGAAGAGCAGTGATCTTGACCACTGAGCCATTTCTCTAGCCCCTGTGATTTTTTTTCCTAATGTTTTATGATAAATAAAGTTCCCTTGGCACTTTTACAAACCAACAAAAAGGTCTGGGAGTTCTGATTTGGTGTGGCAGCAGATGTATTTATGAAGATGTACTAGTGAAACAAATGTCTCTGAACCTTTGTGTTTCTAGGTTCTGGCAGAGAAGAGGCAGCTGGGCAGCAAGGATGGGCCTCCACATCAGGTGCTGGTGGTGCCTCTGCACAGCAGGGTTTCCCTTCCAGAGGCATTTAAACTGCTTCAGAACGAAGACTTGGGAACAGTGTACTTGAATGAATGGGGAAGCACCCATAGCTTTATGCTTGTATGTCCGGGTTTGAAACATCGGTGGTTTTTCACATATGCAAGACCAGGTTAGAGTATCCAATATTTTTCTGTTATGTTGTTATATTTCTTGATTATAATGTGCTAACTATCTCTTTCCACTGTGTCTTCTGCATCCAGGGGATCTGCATACTGTATTAGACATGGCTAAAGTTGCTGATACCATTCTGTTCCTCCTGGACCCAATAGAAGGCTGGGACAGTACTGGGGATTACTGTCTCTCCTGCCTCTTTGCTCAGGGACTTCCCACATATGGTAAGTGTGTTTGGAGTAATGGAGACCAGCAAAGAAAGTAAATTTGCATTTTTTGTGTTCAAATCTGATCTTCCAGGTATAATGTTTAGCATTTGATTTAGGAATACAATCAATGGGTTGTATTTGATGTAGGATATAGTTGTTCAAATTGCACATTTTATTTTTTTCTTTTTTGAGACAGGGTTTCTCTCTGTGGCTTGGCTGTCCTGGAACTCACTGTGTAGACCAGGTTGGCCTTGAACATAAACAGATTTGCTTGCCTCTGCCTCCCAAATGCCGGTATTAAAAGTGCACACCACCAATACCCAGCTATTTTCATATTAAGGAGAATTTTTATTTCTGGGCTGCTCTTTGCCTAGGGGAAGAATAAGAAGTTGTCCCTTGTGACATTTCTTTAGTGTTAGCTAAGAATTGAGTTTTCTAGTGGTCTTTGGGATCACAGTAGAACTGCTGGGTTGGTTATGAACGAGAGAGGAATTTTCAAGTTGTGAAACAGTCACTAAGTGCTATTTTTCTCTTTCAGCACTAGCTGTCCAGGGGCTTTCTGGCCTCCCACCAAAGAAACAGATAGATGCCAGAAAGAAGCTAAGTAAAACAGTGGAGAAACGTTTTCCTGAAGACAAACTCCTGTTCTTAGACACCCAACAGGAGGCAGGAACGCTGCTTAGACAGTTGGCGAACCAGAAGCAACGGCATCTTGCTTTTCGAGCTCGGCGAGCTTACTTGTTTGCCCATGTTGCTGACTTCGTGCCTAGTGAGGAGAGTAACTCAGTGGGCACCTTGAAAATCTCAGGCTATGTTCGTGGGAGGACTCTGAATGTGAATAGCTTGCTGCATATTGTTGGACATGGTGATTTCCAAATGAATCAGATAGATGCACCTGTGGACCCTTTCCCTTTAAATCCTAGAGTGATTAAATCCCAAAAGAAACCAAGCATGGCAATGGAGGTAAGATTGATAGGGTTTTCATTTCAGAAAATCTAACAAAGGCTAGGTGGGGCCTCTATTACTTGGCTACATTCCTTGCCCAAGATGGTTTTTAACTTTGTTACTGAATTTGCTTTTGTATGCTGGAGAGGAGCCCTATCACTGGTGTGGAGGGCAGGGATTACTTTGTGGGGCTTGGCTCTCCTACCTTGTGGGCCCAGACTTACTTTCAGAGCAGATTGTTAGGCTAGTGAGATTACTGCTCATTTGAAGTATAAGTCAGTAAATAGAAATACGTTTATCGTGTGTATTTATCCAGTACTTCCTAGAAATTCTGCATAGTTGGCAGATGTGGCCTCTTTTCTCAAGAACTTAATTTGAATTAGACAAAAAACTAACACGCTTGTGATTTTAAATATTATAGTAGCATATAGTTAAGGTGTAGACGTGCTGTGGAAATCTAGGACCTAGCAAGCTATGCCAGAGAGAGCAGAGTCAACCAAATGTGTGGAAGGGATGGATAAAATATGCTGGGGACTATGAAAGCCTGCGGGTAGTGATGGAGTAGAGTCTTTCTTTGGCCCTTTTTTTTTTTTTTAAGACAGGGTTTTTCTGTGTAGCCCTGACTGTCCTGGAACTCACTGTGTAGACCAAGTTGGCCTGAATTCACAGAGATCTGCCTGCCTCTGTTGAGATTAAAGGAGTGTGGCACCACACCAGGCATTCTTTGAACTTTTAAAAAAGACTGGACCTATGCTGGGCCCACTGCCTGGCTGCCTGGCATGCTGTTTAATGCTGGGATTAAACAACAGTGGGAAGCAGAGGCAGATGGATCTCAGTGAGTTAAAGGCCAGTCTGGTCTATAAAGAGTCCAGGACAGCCAAGGCTATACAGAGAAACCCTGTCTTGAAAACCAAAAAATAAAATACAAAAAAAAAAAAACAAAACAAAACACCAAAAACCACAAAAGAAAAAAAAAAAAAAAAAAAACCCAAAGCAACAACAAAAACTCTGAACCTCTGGACCTCACTATGTAGCAGTGGCTAGCGTATAGACCAGACTGGTCTCAAACACTGCAGACAGCATCCTGCCTCTTCCAATTAAGTGCTGAGATAAACAGTGTACACAGTCATGCAGGGTGTGTTTAAATTCTGAAAAGAGCAGCTCGATGAAGGGAGTATAATAAACAGGCGAGGGTCAAGATTAGAAGCAATCTCAAGAGTTAAGCAGGAGAACAGAGGTGAAATGCTGGGGATGGCCACCTGGAAATTTTGGTATGTTTTGATTTTCTGTGTAATTTGTGGCTCTTTCGGGTTACTGTTACATGTTCACCTTTTGGTTTTAGGTTTGTGTTACAGATGCTGCAGCAGACATGGAAGAAGACCTTAAGGTTCTGATGAAGGCAGACCCTGATCAGCAGGAGACTTTACAAACAGAAGTTATTCCAGACCCGATGGAAGGGGAGCAGACCTGGCCCACTGAGGAGGAGCTGGATGAGGCAAAAGGTCAGTAGCAGCAAACATTACTTTTGACTGTCATTTTGTATAGCTCTTGTCTTGGTTACTGCTCCTGTGCTTGTAGGTCTGGATGAGGAAAGGGTTGAAGGTCATCGCTGCACTAAGTAAATACTTCATACAGCTTCCTCTCTAGCAATCACTCCACGCTTGTCTTTGTAAATAATAATGTCATTGGGTCCACTACAGGGCTTATTTAGCTTTGCATTTGTTGCTAACTTGAGCCAGCTGAATGAAGCTTGGAAGTTGTTCTCATGTAGCTGCTATTTCCCTTGTGTTGGTAGCAGTATCTGCAAAGGTGAGAATACAAAAAGGGAGCACATAAATTGTTTGGGTTTTTACAGACTTACTGAAGCAACGTTCCAGCGTGGTAAAGAAGGTCCCTAAAGGAACATCTAGTTACCAGGCTGAATGGATTCTGGATGAAGGTGATGAAAGTGATGGGGAAGGCGATGAATATGATGATATACAACATGAAGGTTTTATGGAAGAGGGGTCTCAGGTAAGAAATGGGCCATCGGGCTACCTGTGCATATAGCTCCAAAAACAAGGCTGTATGAAATCAGTTGCTTAAGAATGCCGGCGATTATGGAAAAGTTGTTTTCATGACTTATTCTCTAGCATAATTTATTTTGAGGTCGGGGAGATGCCCACTGGGTAAAGTGCCACATAAGTGTTAGGACTCGAGTTTGAATCCTCAGAACCCATGTGAAGCTCAGTGTGGTAGTGCAAGTCTGTGACCTCAGTGTTCCTCTGGCAAGATAACGGTAGAGAAAGGATTTCTGGAGCACTGACGCCAAGTTAACAGACAGCAGAAGATCCTGTCTCAAGCTGAGGACAGGCAGCAAAAGCTGTCCTCTGCCCTCTACAGTCGTAAACACATGACCACATAAACTCTCACATGCACATTTTTATACTGATACTCACTGCAATCTAGGAAAACATATAAAATATACACAAAATTAATCCTTATTTAATTGCTTTTGGTGTAGAACTGGGTGTTTCTGCTGAAATATCTGCTTTTTTTGAAGATGCTCTTATTAGCCTATAGCTGACATCGGACGCTACAGCAGTCTTTCTATCTTAATGTTTCCAGAGCTAGGATCATAGACGTGTGACACCATTGCTGACTGCTATTTTGTTGTTGGGTTTTTTGAAATGTCAATGCACCGTCTTATTATTATTCTTGGGTAGTTCTTTTTTTCGGAGAAGTCTCATGTATGCCACGTATTCTGAACTCACTGAGTAGCAGAGAATGACCTTGAACTCCTTAGTCTCTTGCCTCTTCCTCTCCCTAGTGCTTGGATTATAGAGGTACTCTAGCATGCTGTGTCTTAGTTTTGGACGCGGTATCTTCTCAAGTGCTGGGATAAAGGTGTGCGCCACTATACCCATCTCAAAAGCATGCTTGTGTTTATGTGTGGACCAGTGTGTGGTGGTCAGGAACAGCTTGCTGGGGTCGTTTCTCCTTTTCCACTATTTGGGTTTCCTGGATAAACTTGGGTTTAGAAGTGAGGTAATCATTGTTGGAAACAATGCCTTTAGACCACCCTGTTGGTGCTATGGTTTTCATTTGTGGGGGGGCATAGTCTTACGTATCCCAGGCTGGCCTAGAATTTAGTAGCTGAGTGTGACCTTGAACCCAGGTCTTGATATCAGGCATGTGAAATCTCCCCAGTGCTAGGCAGTGGTAGTGATCTGAACAAGCACTTCAAGCATGCTAGTAGGAAAGCATTCTACCAGTTGAGCTACATTCCCTGCTGTCTTTGGGTTTGTTACTTTTTCTTTCCGTTTGGTTTTGAGACAGTCTTACTCTGCCATTAAACTCATAGTGAGTTTCCTGTCTCAGCTTCCTCAATGTTCAAACTGCAAATGTGTTTCATATTGCATAGTTGTTATCCCCTATTTTACAGGATGGGAGTGGTGAGGAGGAAGAGGAGGAAGAATGTGAAACTATGACTCTAGGGGAGTCTGTGTGTGATGATCTATATGATGAGAAAGTAGATGAAGAGGCTGAGGAGAGAATGTTGGAGAAATATAAACAAGAAAGATTAGAAGAGATGTTTCCAGATGAAATGGATACCCCTCGTGATGTGGCTGCTAGAATTCGGTTAGTCAACAATTGATTTCAAATATTTTATTTAAAAGTTTGATGGTTTAGAACTATGTGAGTAGGAATCAAATGGAGAAAAACACATTGTCCTGTCCTTGAAGGGCTAACATGCTGTGTGAGAAGAAGCAACATACAATCAGGGCCTAAAATTGTCCAGAGAGCTCTAGTGAAAGAGGCTAATTATCAGATATTCCTTGCAGGAGCAAATACTCAGAAGTATATATTTCAGGAAGTAAGAGTGTATTGAGTGAATGCTTGTAAAAGTAAAAGTAAGAAAATGTAGGTGATTTTTCTGGAAGCAAGCTTGACTAAAAGCTGTAAGGCAGGTTCAAGAGCCACATTCCCTAACTGGTACCAGGCAGGCACCTCGTCCCCTATGAAAAGCCTGGTTTGATTCTGAAGTACTTGTTAGAAGCTGTTTTAGAACATGGTTTTTCTAAAGCCTTAGTTTGAAGTTGTTTGAGAGATAGGGTCTCAGGTAGACCAGGCTAGCCTTGATCTTCCTGCCTCCACCTCCGACGCGCAGGGATTATAGGTGTGTACTTCCATGACCAATTCTAATTTATTAGAATATTTTGGTGTCCTAGTTTTTGAAAGTTTTGCTTTGTAGCTTAGGCTGACATGGAACACATGATCCTGCCCCAGGTTCCCTGGTGCTGGAACTAGAGGTATTTACCACAGAGCCAGATTTAAAGATTTGCTTGTTGTACTATGCCTGGGATTGGACCTCGGCCATGTGTATGCTAGTAAACTTTATACCAGAGTCATCCCTAGATAAGAGTACTTTGAAAAAGCGAGAGACTTAACCATTTAATAAGTGAGGTGGGTCTCATCTAATCCTCTTACTTTTTTTAAAAAAAATGTGTGTTCTAGATTTCAGAAATACAGAGGCCTCAAGAGCTTCCGGACATCTCCTTGGGACCCTAAGGAAAACCTTCCTAGAGATTATGCTCGGATCTTTCAATTTCAAAATTTCATTAATACTCGGAAAAGAATCTTTAAAGAGATTGAGGAAAAAGAAACTGAAGGAGCTGAGGTATCTGCCTTCTGTCCACCTTGTAATTTGTTTTTGTTTGACACCATGCTGCTTGTTTGGCAACAAACAGCGATCAGAGATAATTAACTGAGAAGGTTGAATCTGGTGACACACCCTTGAGTGCCAGTCTGGAAAGACGAGGCTTGGCATGTATATACTTGGAAAGGTTTGCTCATTATTGGGACATTAAGGATCACCCTGTGATTATCCTGTGCTTCTTCCTGGCAGGCTGGCTGGTATGTCACACTTCATGTCTCAGATGTCCCAGTCTCAGTGGTTGAGTATTTCAGGCAAGGAGCACCTTTGATTGCATTTTCTTTGCTACCTTATGAACAGAAGGTAAATTAGTGTTTTGTGGCAAATGTAGAGTTACAAATATTTTTCCAAAGTGTTCAACATTTTGCTCATTGGGATGAAAGTGTCTAGCTTTTTGATTGAGGAATCAGAATAGAGAAGTCAATGATGGTTGTGCCCAAGATGTCTGAACCTGTCTGAAGCATCTTTGTGATGCAGTCTGTGTGGTTCTGAGACTTCTCTAAGTGTGTTTTTTCAGGTGACAACAGGGGTTAGCAGTCAGTCGTAAAAGTAAGTGTCTATGCCTGTGTTTTCTCTTGGTAGCCAGTAGTCATGTTTACTGGGAGTGGGACGGCTATCATAAGGGTTGAGGAGGTTGGATGATTGTGGTTGGGAGGGTATATGGTGATCAGATAGATGTGAAGGCCATTCACTGTGGCTAGTTCTTTAATGTCAGAGGTCGAATGGTAAGCTAGCTTAGATATGTGCATGGAGCCGTCAGTTGGTGGGTAGAAAGGGAACTATTTAAAATGTCATCTGTACAACATCAACTAGCATGGTCAGTTAGTAGGGTGGTACTGACGTTTGTTTTGTTTACCTTTCAGGTTAGGTTGTTTGTATGCCTAGACTATGAAGCTTTTTCTTATTTGGTCCTCAGATGTCAGTATTGAACATGGTGGTGAGGCGGAACCCTGGCAACACGGAACCTGTGAAGGCCAAAGAAGAACTGATCTTCCACTGTGGGTTCAGGCGCTTCCGAGCCTCCCCTTTATTCTCTCAGCACACAGCAGGTAAGCATGGGAGCTGCTCGGATCTTCTCATCTATTCTTTTAGGGTTGAAGGCAGAGTACACTTTGAAGCACTGAAGCCTCTGTGGTTAGACATATTTTCAGTACTCTGACTTAGGAGCCAATGATGTTTTTATCTAAAATGTCTGAACCTGTCTGAAGCATCCCAGTGATGCAACCTGGTACTGAGGCTTCTCTGCTTTGAGTATTTGTTCCAGAGTGGGTTTTAAAGCAGGATCTAGCTTTAGGAGAAGGAATATGTGTTACCTGCTTACTTGGGGCTTTTGCCTTTCAGTGACAGGAGACAAAGCTGGAGACAGCATTAATGGTGCTACATTTTTTCATCCACCATGTCATTTTGTGAACATAATTTTACAAAACATAGCTTATCTTGTGATTTTGGGGGCACGATGTCTTGAGACAGGATTATTAGTATGGCCTAGAAGGGCCTTGAACTTTGGGTCCCCCACCTTCAACCATTATTATATAATTATTGCCTGCTTACTATTAAGTATCAAACTATTATGTAAAACTATTGTGTTTTTGTCAATTTTTATTTATTGAGGTTTGAGAGGCAGGCTGGTCTTTCTTGACCTTCAGGGTACTGGGAATGCAGTGTTGGGGGTACACCAGCATGCCCAGCCAGCACGGGGTACACTGACAGGCCTAGGTAGTTGAAATAGAAAGAAATAATAGAGTTAGCTCAGCACTTGTTGCTGAACCTGAGGATCTACACTCAGTGAGTGCCCTGACCACCTATGATGGAAAGAGAAATGGCTTTTGATTTTCTACTCTAGTGCTGTATAGCACATGTGCCCTGCACCCTGAAAGTCAATAAAATATATTCAGAAGCTCTTTTATTTTAAGAAAGTAATGGTGGTGTTGCAAATGAACAGTTTGCCTACTAGCCTACTATATCCTACAGGCGGCACAAAGAACTCAGCTCAAAGCCATACTTAACTTTCTGGGTAAAAAATGTTCTGCTCAAGACTGGGTTGTTGATGAAGCACAGTCAGTCTGAGTATAAGCACTGGTTGAGGAGGCAATGAGATCAGGTCACCTGGAGGGCTCTTCCAATGCCAGCCTTAGTCTAAGCTCTAATTTTAGCTCCAGTTGAAAATCACTGATACAGCCTGGTGTGGTGGCACATGCCTGTAATCCTCAGCACTTGGAGAGGTAGAGACAGGCGGATCTCTGAGCTCAAGGCCAGCCTGGTCTACAAAGTGAGTCTAGGGTAGCCAAGGCTACACTGGGTAGTAGTGTAGAGAGGAGTTCCTGTTTCGAACCCCTTCCCCGCCACAAAAAAAAATCACTGAGAGGCACCTGCACTCAGATATACCTACATCCAGACATAGACACTTAAACACATAAGATACAGGTCTGTGGCAGAGCCCTTAGTGTATACACAGCCTTGGGTTTAAACTTCATTACTATAATTTTAAAAGGTGGGGTTATGTGCTTTTGATAGCCTTTGGATTGGTTTCTTAAATGGCTTAACTTTTCTATTTTTTTATTTTGGACCCTTTCTATGGAAGCTGATAAACATAAATTTCAGAGATTCCTGACTCCTGATGCAGCCTTAGTGGTAACAGTGTTTGCACCAATCACTTTTCCTCCCGCATCTGTGCTGCTTTTCAAGCAGAGAAGCAATGGTATGTTGGATTCTGAATAATAAATAAACAACAAATATGTACCTGCTAGAACCATCACTCATCTGTTACTTAGGGGTCTTACTGTATTAAGTCATACTAGTTTTAGTCTCACTGGCGGTGGAAGCCCAGGGTGATAAACTAGTTCTTAACTGTTGGCACACTTCAGTGCAGGCTGCTTAAGGTGGGTTTGGTGGACTGGCTCATAGCAATCTTTTAGTGGTCTTTCTGTGGCCCCAGGAAGGTAGCATAGTGCACTTTTCCAAGAAACTCTTGCATAGATAGGGTCCTTAAAATAGATTAGAACAGTAACTAAGGATTTGGCCTGCTCTCCTTTCTTAGGCATGCACAGCCTCATTGCTACAGGCCATCTGTTATCAGTGGATCCAGACAGGATGGTCATCAAGAGAGTTGTTCTGAGTGGTCATCCTTTCAAAATTTTTACCAAGATGGCAGTAGTGCGCTATATGTTCTTCAACAGAGGTAGGCGTGAATAAAGGAGAGCAGGAGCTCGTTTCCCGTGGTGGGAGGATCGTCTAGATGCTGTGTGGGTAAATGTTTGACTTCGTGTTTGTGTGTTCCTTTCTCAGAGGATGTGATGTGGTTTAAGCCTGTGGAGCTGAGAACCAAGTGGGGCCGCAGGGGACACATTAAGGAGCCTGTAGGTAAGAGGATGGATTCCCAGGTGTCATCAAGGACCATTGGGTTGTAAGTTCAATGCCTGAAAGTGTCTATTTTGACCAACTTTCTCTTTTCCTTCCAGGTACCCATGGCCATATGAAGTGCAGTTTTGATGGGAAGCTAAAATCTCAGGATACAGTATTAATGAATCTCTATAAACGAGTTTTCCCCAAATGGACTTACGATCCCTATGTACCAGAACCAGTACCTTGGGTGAAAAGTGAGGTCTCTTCGACAGTGTCAGAAGTGGACATGGAATAATGGATCTGGTGGGGCTATCTACTGCGGCCAGGACTCCGGTGTGAGACTCTGGATTGTGACTAGGCAGCTTGTGCTTCCTATTTCAGCTGTCCATGCCTCTGATGTGTACTGTTTACACCATTACTTGGTCCCCAAACTCTTACTGAAAGACTTTTCTCCATTAGGATTTTGAAAATAGTTTTAAAAGGGAAGATGGAAAACAACATTTTCATACAGTGACATTCTTATTTCTTCCATGGATTTAAACAGAAGCAGTCTGGTAAGGAGTTGGCTTTTCAGCCTGCTTTACCCAGTTTAGGGACGTCAAGTCTACATTCCCACCACTGAGTACAATACAGACGTTCTTTACTTCTGGAGAGACTGTTTGGAAATGCTGAGATAGCACTGCAGCCAATCCAACACCAGCACTAGGCTCAATGAGCAGCTTCATTCTCTCCCACACCAGCTGGGTTGCATACTGTTGGCACAGAAAGGAGCAAGGGTTAATAAAGCAAGAAATGGAGCCAGAGTCTGGTAGGTTAGGTTCTAAATGCCAAATGAAACCGGTGTTTGGGTTGGTTGCAAAGAGTATGGGCTTACTAATAAAATGCCTCTACAACTCAGCAAAGTCTGCTCTTGCCAGGGTTTGCACCTGTCACAGGTCATCTGGATAAGTGAATTGCCTGCTCATAAGTTTCTTAGGCTCACTGTTTTCTCACGACTTACCTTTATTTCATCCTCTGTGACAGTGAAGACATCATCTACAAGGTCCCTTATAATAGGCCAGGTATTTAAGCCAATGCTTGATTTTACACCATCAGCTATGGTTTCTGGAGGCTGAAGATTGGGGGTTAGTTCTCCTTTCAGTTTGGACTGGTAGCAGTCATCTGCATTCAAGGGTTCAGCACCATATACCTTCACGCTAGGCTTTAGGGCCTGGGGAAAGGAACAGAGGCTTTACAATTACATTCTTTGCCTGTGTACCTAAGGGAGGCTTGATGGCTAACATTTTTGTGTTAAAAGGGTCTTTCATTTGATGTCCAAAATGCAAATAAAAGCACTTTAATAAAAGTTGTATCTGATGAAGTGGCTTGTCTAGATTATGACTGGTTCCAGAAGTTTGGGAATGGTGCAATAGTATTGTGAGGTGGACTTGGGAAGAAGTGAGGATGCTGCCATTGTAACTGATATGTTAGGGAATCAGATCACTGGACTTTGAGTTACAGACCAGATAGTTGTGAGCTGCCATGTGGGTGCTGGCAGTTGAACCAGGATCCTCGGGAAGAGCAGCTCTGCTTCAACAGCTCACCTGTGTAGTTGAGCAGTGTCCATTGCAACTGCTTTTATGGCATCATAGATGAAAAGGACAGTGAGGCAGAGAAGGCCATGAAAGATGGTTAGGGTTCTGTGTCCCTTATCCAGGAAACTGTTTAGAAGCTGCTTTCTCACCTTAATTGTGATGGCTATTCCAGCAACCATTCCTCCTCCCCCTACTGGAACCACCAGCGCATCCACCAAGGGAACCTTCAGTAGAAATATAAATAGGTCAATTAAGTTTTATGTGTACATACAATTATGGCAAAACCACTTTCCTAGTAGGTAAGTAGAACTGCCATTTTACCTGCTTTAGCACTTCCAGGGCAATTGTCCCTTGTCCAGCTATCACTGCAGGCTCCTGGTTGGGGTGGACTAAGATGCCTTCTGTTTCTTGCACAATTCTCTGAGAGACCTTTTCTCTGGACTAAAAAAGTACCATTAATGTAACTTGCTTGACTTACAGTGAGTTCACTTCTCCAAAAGTTCAATCACTTAACATTTCAAAGAAAGAAATTTTCATATTTCTCTCAGGAGAGTAGCTGCAAATAAACATGCTTGGGTACTTGTGAGAAAAAATGGTTTTCAAGGTGTGACTGAGGGGCCTCTATATGACATGAACAAGATACGGATCTTTAAAAGAATGAAGTGCAAAGTGTACAAGGTAGAAGTATTTGGTCTTTGTGAAGAACTGATAAGGGAGAGGAAATTACAGTAGATTAGACAGAAAGATGAAATGGTGTAGTTCATCTAGGCCTTAGATCATTCTAAGGACGAGGTGGTTGATATTTTAAGTGACTGCTTAGTATATACAAAGCGCCAAACCAAAACAGCCCTTAAAGCTGGGAGGTGGAAAACTAGGAGGATTTAGGTTGACAGGCTAAAAGGACAGTGGTTGCTATTGAAAACACTGGAGGGCTAGGGTGAAAGCAGAGACAAATGAGGATACTTCGAATATGAGAACTGATGTTGCACAGAATCAGGGTGACAATGGAAGAGGCTGTTAAAAAGAACTGTAAACATTCTGGTTTTTTTTAAAATTTTGATTACATTTTCACATGTTTGTGTGTGTGTTAAAAAGAAAGGACAGATCTTTCTGGATGTGGTGTTTGGAAGGTTATCAGTGATTTTGTTTTTGTAGCCTTGGCTGTCCTGGACTCACTTTGTAGACCAGGCTGGCTTTGAACTTACGGAGATCTGCCTGCCTCTGCCTCCCTGAATGCTGGGATTACAGGCGTGTGCCACTGTCCCTGGCTTTTTTTAATACAGGATTTCATGTAGTTCAGATCCTCAGGCTAGCCTTAGAATGTGTGTTCCAAAGATGATCTTGAATTCTTGATCTTCCTGCCTGTACTTCCCAAGTGCTGAGATTACAGGCATGCAGCAATCATACCCAGCTGTTAAAACTTGATAATATTTCTGTGTAGTGTGGCTGGTTTGGATCTTGCCATTCTGTCTCAAACTCTTGAGTGCTAGAATAAGCATGTCTGGCTTTAGTTGCATTACATTGAGACTAATGCCATCAAATAAGGATAGGGAAAAGGTTGGCCATTCTAAGATGAAGCATCCAGTAAGGGAGGTAGACAGTCAAATGAAGATACTAAGTGATGCTGAACACTGTTCCCTCCTTACCTCATCACTTGGTTCACAGTACACTATAGAGGCTCCATAAGCTTGGATTGCCAGTTTTTTGCAGTTGGGAGCCGTTCGAGGCACCACAATGTAAGCAGGAATTCCTGAAAGGGAAGAAATGATTCAACAGTATGAGGACCGCCAAGGATAGAAACAGATCATTTTGCTTATGATCATACAGGGACTCGTTTGGAAACTTACTTCCCACAGCTGTCACCCACCTTATCGAATTAGGGTATTTTCCCAACCCTCTGATACTATTCTGTACCCCGAGAAAACGAAGTACCTTCCAGTTTGGCAGCATAGGTGAGAGCCTGGCCATGGTTTCCACTGCTGTGAGTAACAACAGCTCTGGGCTTCCCTTCCAAAGTGTCAGGAGTTAAGCCTCTGATGGCATTAAGGGCACCTCGAATCTGGAAGAGATGGTGAACTATCAAAGGTGTACCATTTAACAATGGGGATATGTTCAGAGCCATGCATTCACTTGTTTCATTGTGCAAACTGTAGAGAGTATTTACACAATAGCTTGCTGAATGTACCTAGGGTATATAATAGAGCCTATTGCTTCCAAATAATAAACTGAAGCATGTTAGAAATACTGAGCATTACTACATAGGCAATTGTATTGCAATGCTATTTGTCTTAGTAGAAAATACAAAAGTAAAAAGTGAGATACTTACACAGGGCATTTTTCCCGGTTTTTTAGATTTATGTGTATGAACACTTTGCATGCATGCATGTGCACGATGTGGGAGCCTGTTGGATTCTCTGGAACTGGGGTACAGACAGTTGTGAGCCTCTCTGTGCATACTTGAAACCCAGGTCCTCTGCAAGAACAGGTGCCCCTCAATTCTGGGCCGTCTCTCTGGCCACCACCCCAACTTCTGTTTTAAGACTGAGTCTTACTGTGTTACCCTAGCTGGCCTAGAACTTAACCATGTAGTTCAGGGTAGCTTTGAACTCACAGCAGTCATCTCCCATGTGCTGGATTACAGGGATAAGCTGACATACCTAGCTATAAAGAACATTTAGTGTGGGGCTAGAGCGATGGCTCAGTGGTTAAGTGGCTGCTCTTCCAGAGGTCCTGAGTTCAATGCCCAGCAACCACATGGTGGCTCACAACCAACTATAATGGATTCTGATGCTCTGTTCTGTCATGCAGGTGTACAAGCAGCTAAAGCTCTCATATACATAAACAATCAAAAACATTTAGTGACTGTTTTGCAGGACAGAAGGTAGATCTGGGGTGATCTAAAGACACTGTTACGTGGTACTGTAAACTAAACATTGTACACCTAAACTACGGTGAGTTTAAAGAGTATTCTCAGGCTGAAGAGATGGTTCAGTGGTTAAGAGCACTGACTGCTCTTCTGGAAGACCCGGTTCACTTCCCAGCACACACATGGCAGTTCAAAATTGTCACTAACTCCAATTCCAGGTTTTCTGATGCCTTCACACAGACATGCATGCAGGCACATGCACATAAAATTTTAAAAAAGTTTTTTAAAATTTCTTTTTATTTTTTTTTATGTGCATTGGTGTTTTGCTTATAGTTGTGAGCTGCTATGTGGGTGCTGGGAATTAAATCAATATCCTCTGGAAACACCTAATGCTCTTATACCTTTAGCCATCTCTCCAGCCCCAAGTATTATTCATAAGAGTAAATTAGATTATTATAACTGCTTTACTTTGTAGATTAAAAAAGATTAAAGACTGTTTCATGTGGCTCAGGCTGGCACTGACTTTGTTATTTAACCACGGACAACCTTATTCCTGATCCTTCTCCTAAAATACAAAAACACTGTACAGCTTACAAAAATATGGCCAAGTATGGTGGTCTACACCTTTAACTTATTCAGACATATTCATGGGCCCACAGTTATAAGGGGTTATAGATTTGTCAAAGTGGCATATCCAATGTCATAAACCACCTGTTTGTGCACCTGTTGCTTTTAGCTGCAAAAAGACAAACAGATTTGGAAAACATAAATCATTTTTACCTTAAAAGACCCAGTTTTCTGGAAGAGTTCACATTTGAAGAAAAGACTGCGGCCTGCTATTTGATTCAGAATGGAGCTTGTTAGCACCGGCGTGAGGTGGACAGAATCCCGAATGTTGCTATGAGCTTTTTCAACATCAGCAAAGGAGATGCAGTACTGAGCACACATGGTTCTGAAACCCAGGAACATGGCAAGGGGTCAAAGCATTGTCCAAACAATGTTTATTTAAAACACTGGAACAGAACACCTTGGGGGCTGTAGTGCTATGTGGAACTGTTCCCATTACTAGCATTTTGAATTTCTGTTCAGAGAGGAACTTCCTTAAGTATTCTTGTGCCTATGGAAGCGGAGGCTTTCAGTCCCCACTCATGCCTCTTGGCACTGCTATAGGTATGTATCTTTTCATCATTGTGTAGCCAGGCTGGCCTTGAATTTACAGAGATCCACCTGCCTTCTAAATACTGGGGCTAAAGGATTGTGCCTCTATACCTGCTATTTTGTTTTGAGAGCTCAAATTTCACTATGTTGTCCAGGCTGGTATAAACCCCAAGGGATCCTCCTGTCACAGCCTTCTGATTCCTTGGACTATTCGAGTATGCCGTTGTACCTGGCTTAAATTTTCAGTTTAGAAATTAACAAAGCCAGGCAGTGGTGGCACATGCCTTTAATCCCAGCCTGGCCCACACAGGGAGTTCTAGGACAGCCAAGGCAACACAGAGAAACCCTTGTCTCAAAAAACCAAAAAAACAAAAATTAACAAATACTGGGATTGGCAAGATGGCTCAGCAGCGTAAGGTACTTCCTGGTAGGCTTGATGATCTAAGTTTGATCCCCAGGACCCACATGATGGAAGAAGAGAAGTGTCCTCTGATCTCTGACCTGCTACACATGTGCCTTGGCACGATGGCCAACACACCCACCCACCCACCCACCCAGAAATGGTAGCACACACCTTTAATCATAGCACTCTGGAGGCAGAGGCAGGTGGATCTCTGCAGGAGCCAGCTGGCAAAGTCGAAATGGTTCTTGAGTTGGGAGTGAAGATTGAAAGAAAAATTAATAAGCCAACACACTACACATGGGATCTTTCTGAGAGGGCTCTAGTAGAAAAACGTCGCCTGGTTTAGTCCAGTAATCCCTTTTTAAGTCAGAGCAAAAGCACCTCAGTAAAATGAATGAATTCGCAAGGAAGTCAGACAAAGGTGTCATGTCACCTTGACAAGACATCCCACCTGCTGTCTCAAACAAAAGGAGATAGACTTGGTAGCTTATCACTGACGCCAGTGAAGGCCAGGGTGAAAGTCTAAATACCAAAGCAACCTGGCAAACCAGCCACTCCCAACAGATTTCTGTGAGTACATGGCCAGCTTGGTCAACATAGTAAGTTTCAGGTTAGCTGGAGCTATTCAGTGAGGCTGACTAAATAAATGAACAGAAGTTACTTTGAAAAAAAAAAAATGGGGTTTTCTGTGTAACCTTGGCTGTCCTGGAACTCGCTTTGTAGACCAGGCTGGCCTTGAATGCAAATCCAGCAGCCTCTGCCTTCCAAATCCTGGGATTGAAGGCACATGGCCCCACACTGCCTGACTTAAAACTGTTTACACATCTATGTGAACAAATATGTGCATAGCATGGACTATGATTGTGCCCACCGAGGCCGCTGGATCTCCTGGGGTGCTGTTGAGCTGCCTGCTATGGATGCTGGAAACTAAACAAGTCGTCTGGAATGGTGGAAAATTCTGCCATGTAAACCAGGCTATGATCCTTAAACCCACAATCCTCTCGTTTCCACCTTCTGAGTGCCAGAATTACAGCCATGTGCCAACATATCTGGTTTACAGATTCTGTTTTCTTTAGAGATGGGTCTCACGTAGGCTAGGGTGACCTTGAATTTGGTAACCTTGAATTTCTGACCATTCTGCCTCCATCTTTCAAATGCTAGGCTTTCAGGTATGTGCTGCCAAGTCTGGTTGTATTGTTAAATGCTTATTCTTTTGGGAAAGTGTCTTCCTTCTGTGGCCCAGGCTGGCTTGGAACTCACTGTGTAGACCAGGCTGTCCTTGAAATCATAGCAGTCTGCTGCCTTGGCCTCCCAATTCTTAGAATTATGGTCTGGGCCACAATACCTAGCTCAGTCCTACCTTTTTCATTGTTGATTTAGTTTGTTTTTTGAGATGAAGTCTCATTTGTTCAGACAGGTCTCAAATTCATCATGTAGCAGAATATGATCCTGATAATCATGCTTCTAGTTTCCACTTGCTAAGATTTCAGGGCTACAGTACTGTGTCTGGCTTTAGCACCATTTAAATAAATCATTTTCTATGTTTCCAAAACATATGTTACATATTAAAAAACATTTTCTTGCTTCATTTGGCTGTTTCTTCAGTTTTCGTAACTGTATCTAAAGGCATGCACTGTTCTAAAACATCTGAAGTGTCATATTAGTGCAGCAATTTGTCAGTCTTGTGACATGTGATGCCTACTGCAAGCTGATTATCAGTTCATACTCTGACAATATCTAAAGGATGTCCATTCACTTCTGCTGGCTATATTGCTTTTATCTTTTGGTTTTTTGAGGCGGTTTTTCTGAGTAGCCCTGGATGGATGTCCTGGATCTGTAGAACAGGCTGGCCTGGAACTCAGAGATCCACTTGCCTCCATGTTGGGATTAAAGGCATGTGCTACCAAGCTCCTGGCTCACTATAATTTATTAAATTTCATTCTCCCTGTGTGTTGGGGTGGGTGCCCATGCCATGGCATCAAAAAACAGCTTTGGGAGTTGGTTCCTTTCTCCCACCATGTGGGTTTTGGAGAGCATACTTAGGTTGTCAGGCTCCATTCCAAGTGTCTTACCCACTGAGCCATCTCTCCAGTCTGCTAGATCATTTTTTTAAAAAGACTTATTTATTATTTATACAACATTCTGCCTATACACCAGATCTTACTATAGATGGTTATGAGCCACCATGTGGTTGCTGGGAATTGAACTCAGGACCTACCTTTTGGAAGAACAGTGAGTACTCTTAACCTCTGAGCCATCTCTCCAGCCCCTGCTAGATTATACACACACACACACACACACACACACACACACACACACACACACACACACACACGTGTGTGTGTGTGTGTGTGTATATATATATATATATCAATTTATGAGGATCAACGTTTTGTCTTGGTGTTTGTATGTGTACCATGGGTATATCTGGTGCCCATGGAGACCAGAAGAAGGTATCAGATCTTCTAGAACTGGAGTTATGGAGGCTGAGAATCAAACCTAGGTCCTCTGGAAAAGCACTAAGTGTTCTTAACTCTTGAGCCAACTCTGCAGCCCCTGCCATGAAATTTTAATATTTACTGAGAATATATATGAAGATTTTTGCATATTTATCATGTAATGAGACTTTACTAGGTTATCTTACTTTTAAAGTGTGTCCCCCACAGACTCAAGAAACAGGCCTCGGATGGAACCTTTTACCATCCCTTTAGCTAAAGGACAATAAATGTTCATAACAGACTCACCTATGTCTCATAGTAAATAAATAGATACAGAAGCCTAAGAAAAATGTTGTTTGAGGGTCTAAGAAAGTGTTTTAAGGTTGGTAAATGCAAGTTATAAAGGTTGCAAGGTCTAAGGTGATTTAAGTTATCTTGGTAAAAATGCTTAATATTTCCTCCTGTTGCTATGCTACTGTTAAATTGACTGTCCAGAGCTTTGGACTTTATCGACAGAGCTCTGATTTATTAATTAGCTCTAATACAAAACATCCCACTGTACCACCCACTCTCATGGTTCCAAGCTCAAGATTTTAAATCTCCGTAATGTGAACTTATACTAAAGGTTAAGATCAAGTGAGCTTTTGTCCCTTGTATTTCATGAAAGGCTTCTGCTTTTTCAGAGCTCATCTTAAAGAATACTTACGCTATTAACACAAATGTGTATGTCTATTGCCTTTTCTACAATGTATATTTCAGTGCAGATTACAATTGTGATGCTAACATGTCTAAAGTTTTATCTCCTTTGTAAAACTTAAAAGTAATTCTTGCAAGCTACAGAAAATCCATCTGAATCCACCTCTCAGGTCAACTGGCTCTAGATAAGTACTGTACCTATTGACTATCTCAGAGGGTGGGATTCCTCCCCTTTCCCTGGTTTTGGGATTTCCCTTTCCTGGCTACCTGACTGCTACATTCCTACATCCAACACCAGCTGATTGTTGAGTCTTCTGGTTGGTGTCAATTCCTGGCTACCAACTCTACATTCATACACCCAATACCAGCCATTTGGTGAGTCTTCACTTCTGGTTGGTACGAACGCTTCCTATCGCTCTCGCCAACCTACATCCAAACCCCTCATCTAGGACCTCCTTCTCCCTTAGATAAGATTTTCCCTCTACCGGAGGTTTCTCTCCCTACCTTTCTTGACTGTCTATGAAAATCCTAGCTAGGTAAACCATGTCTGCTACGGGCAACTGTGCCCTTGGTCTCTGGCCAATGCTGATGAGCTGCTGGAACAGACTGTGTCATACTACTCTACTGAGTCAAACCTTGCTCTTGAGACAACTTGACAGGTCACTGACTCCTAACTGCCCAATGGGAATAGTCCATTTGTCTGTTCCTCCTGATTCTCTTGGAGATGTCTTCTGGACAATTTCAGACTTCTACACCTAGTGCCCACTCTAAGGGCCTCTCATCTAATACGCCATAGTAACCAAACTTGGAGTCAATTTCCTTAGATACAGATCCAAAGCAAAGCCTTTTTAATTACTGCCACTGATTGGGTAAACGGAGGTTCTCATGTTCAAGCCTTTTTGATCCAAACCTTCCACCTCTGTTCGCTCTCCCAAAAGTTTTAAATGTTCACCTAAAGAAATTTCCTCTATAACCTACTTAACTTTGTCTTCTGCCTATAATTATGTTCCAGTATCTTGCCAGACCCAGGTGTTTCCTATATCCACAACAGCATCAAAGCAGCTACCACAGGTGTTCAACTCTGACCTCACAGACTTCTATCTGCACCTTCCCTCTCAGCAATGGATGTTCTCACAGACCCTGCACAGCATCAAAACAGCCTGTTCTTTCTGGACTTGGCCAGCATTTCAGCCTTTTGACCTCCCGACGGCGTCGCCAGTGTCAGCAGGAAGTAGCTAGAAGAGAATCTATTTATTCATTTAAAATTAACAAAAGGCTGGAATGGTGTGCTTCAGGCCCAGGACAAGCAGTAGAAGGTTCTCCCAACATTCTTCAGTCCCTACCTGCTGCCTTGCGTGGCTGGCAACTCTCTACCCTGAACTTTCCAGGGCAGGGACTTCCTCTCCTCTTCTTGACCATGTAATCTGGACATTTTGTTGCTATTATTTTTTTCTCTCTTACCCCCTTGCATGGCAACTAAGAGCTGCTTCCAAAGAACCTAAATTTATAAAGTTTAATTTGCCTTTCATGAGAAGCAGCCCAAGCTCCTCATTTTTTAATTATAGAAAAAGGGAGGAATGTTAGTATTTAGCCAACCTGCTTCTGGTTGCCTAGCAACCTATAATGTCATCATGTGTCAACTGCCAGGTAGCCACAACCAGCAGGCATGGTTACATTGCTCCTTAAAAAGGACCAACCCGCCACTTTGTCTCTCTCTTGCCCTCTCCCCTTTTCTGTCTGGACAGCCCCCCCTTCCCCCATCATGTCTCGCTCTCTCCTTCTCTCTCTCTCCTTTCATTTCCATCTAATAAACCTCTTTCATATAAAATCTGCTGTGTGCATCATTTTAATTGGTCCTAATGATGTGTACCTGCATGCCAGAAAAGGGCACCAGATCTTATCATAGATGGTTATAAGCCATCACGTGCATGCCGGGAATTGAACTCAGGTCCTCTGAAAGAGCAGCCAGTGCTCTTAACCTCTGAGCCATCTCTCCCCAGGAAGATTCATATTTAACAGGAGGAAATTCTAATGTGTTGTAACACTGAAGACATTATGCTAAAGGGAAATGGGCTGTTTGCAAAGATACCTACTACATGATCCCAGTTATGTGGGGTACCTAAGGAAGTCAGATTCCAGGAAAGAAGAGTGGTTGATGGGCTGGGGTTTAAGGCGGTGGAGGGTTGCTTAATGGGTATAGAACAGGGTACATTAAACAATAACAAAGAACATACACCTAAAAATGACTAAATGATAAATTTTATGTGTATTTTACCACAGCTGAAACAAATTTAAAAAAAGAGATAGTAGCAGTTATAATTACCCGTGTAGAGTGTAAGATGACTAATCTCCTTTCTTGACTAAGAGTTTTCTTGATTGGATTATCTGAAGTGAAGACAGCCTACCCTAAAATCTTGGCCATCCCTATGTGGTAGCCCACAGAAAAAAACATGAAAGAAGGAAGCTTCTGCTTTTTGACTGCTTGCCCTCACTCTTGCTGGCAAGTTCATCTATCGTGTTGCTGAGGTATTCCTTCATTGAAACTAGAATCTCCTTGTTTAGAATTCCAACAGAGTATGTACTGACCATTACCAGATTCTTGGCTTTTTTGCCAAGAAACAGCCAATATGGGACTGGCCACCACAGCCTATTCCCTTTATATACATACATATTTCATTCTATCAGTTCTGTTCCTTTAGAAAATCTTGACTAATACAGTCTGCAAGTGACAGAACCTCAGTTTGAAGTAGCTTAGGGAAAGGATGAGGGTGTCCAGGTTCACTGGCTTATAGAGTCCAAGGAAGGGTCAAATGAACTACTGCGGGGGACACAGAGCTTTAGCAACAACTGTAATCAGGGGCTGGATAGCTTCCATGACTCTCACTCAGTTTCTCACCTCTGCTGCCTTTGGCATGTTGGCTTCCTTTTCATAGCAGGCCAGCTGGTTCCGTAGGGCAGGACACATGGCTGCTGAAAGCTCCTGTGTTTTACATTTTATGGCTTCCACACTGAAGAGGGACTTTCTCTCAATTTCAGTTCAAAAAATTCTGGGTAAGGACTTTGACTGACCCATCTTGGCCCAGGCCCAGTATGGCAAAAGGTATAAGATTACTTAGAAAATATTACATAATAGAAGTATTGATGAAAACATGAAAAAGAAACAGAATGAGATCTATAACACAACATCAATTATGTACATTTAAAATACATATATAAAACATTATATATTATGCAAAGATATATGTGTATTTAAGGACATATACCCAACACATCAAAGCCACTAAAGAAGGAGTGATGAAAGATGACTGGAAACTGAAATGAGCAAAAAAGATAAAATGAGAGAGGCCTTGTTAATGACAATGTGAACAAATAGTATGATTACGTCAATCTTCTGCCTCTGAAGGAAAATAGCAGCCTAATTAGGAAGAAATGATGGAGGCGACAAAAGAAACTTCTGAGTAGTAGTGAAAGGCAGTTTTCAGAAAAAGATGAGGGCTGGAGCGATGGCTCAACTGGTAAAGGCACTTGCTGCCCAGGTTGACAACCCGAGTTCCACTCCCTGACCCACAAGGTAGAGGGAGAGAACTGACTCTTGCAGGTTGGCCTCTGACCAACACATATGAGCTCACATACAATAATTAAAGTTTTGCTGAGACAGGGGCCCTCTATGTAGCCCTGGATATCTTGGAACTCATTATGTAGAGCAGGATGGGCTCCGACTCAGAGATCCATCTGCCTCTGAGTCCCAGGTGTGCACAACCACGCCCAGTCCCTCCCTTACCTTCCCTTCCCTTTTTCTTTCCTTCCTCGAGTACACATGCCTGTAGAGGCCAGAAGAAGGCGTCCTATTCACTAGGAACTGGAGTTACAGGCAGTAGTGAGTCACCTTAAATGGGTGCTGGGAACTGGTAAGTCCACAGAAAAGCAACACTGTTTGTAACCTCTGAGCCATCTCTTAAGCCCAATATCTAGTTTTTGAATTACTTATTTTTGCTCATAGGTGTTCAAGTGTACACGTGTATGTGTGTGCACACAAGTGTGAATAAACCCTGGGTGAGGGTGTTTTCCCTCAGGAGCTATTCACCATGGATATAAGTTTTGTTTTGTTTTTTTTTCCCCGAGACAGGGTTTCTCTTTGTATCCTTGGCAGTCCTGGACTCACTTTGTTATCAGGCTGGCCTGGAACTCACAAAGATCCACCTAACTCTGCCTTCCTGAGCACTACTGGGATTACAGGTGTGCACCACTATGCCAGTTTTTTTTTTTTTTTTTTTTACAACAGTCTCTTACTGGGAACTGATTAAAGCTGGCTGGCCAGCCTCAGAGGTTCATCCATCTGTATCTTCCCAGAACTTCCATTACAAACCCATACACCATTCCTGGCTTTTTAAGCAGATGTGGGATCGAACTCAGGTCCTTATGCTTGTGTAGCAAATGCTTTACTGATGAAGCCATCTTATTAGATATTTACTTTATAAATGTACTGGAACAGGATCTAGCCTTAAGCTAACTATATGATCGGGGATGATCTTCGATTCCTGACTCTCCTGCCTTGACCTCACTAGTGCTGCAATTACAGGCATGCAGCATATCACCTGAGGTACATCCCAGCCTTTCATTTATTTACTTAATGTACATGGGTGTGTGTCTGCGTGCATGCCTGTGTAGCACAAGTGTGGCTGGTGTTTTCAGAGGCCATGAGAATGTTGGATTTTCTGGGACTGGAGTTATAGATAGTTGTGAGCTGCCATGTGGGTAATGGGAATGGAACTTAGGTCCCCTGAAGAGCAGCCAGTGTAACTGCTGAATTCCAGCACCTAATCGGTTTGTTTAATGTGCAAGCAGGCTGGCATGGAACATAGCCAAGGATGACCTTACACTCTGGACTCTTGATCTTCTTGTTTCCATTTTCCACGTGTTGCCTGCACCTGGTGTGTGTGCAGTACAGCCTAGGCTAGCTGGGAACTCTTGTATCTTCCTGCCTAAGCAAGCAGAACCATAGGGTTAGACATATGTGACACCACATTCAGCTTCAATCAGGGTTTTAAGAAAATCCTGCTGCTTTGTTTTCAGACAGGTCTTACTTTATAGTGCTGGCTGGCTTGGAGTTCACTATGTAGACCAAGCTGGCTTTGAACCTGAAGAGACCTCCTGCCTGTATTACTGGCACTGGGATTATAGGCACGTGTTACCATGTCTGGCTAATGTTTTGGAGACAGGGTGTCAGTACTTTGGTTCAGCCCTGAACTCAATGGTGGAGGACAGCCTTAAAGTTTGATCTTCCTCCCAAATGCTGCGGTTACAAGCATGTGCCATAATGCCAGGATCTCAAGCCAGTTTTTGTATTTCCACTTCTCTCAAATCTTTTGTCAAAGGCTGCTATTTGTTCTCGTCACTTTAATTATACCTTCTTTTGGGCTGTTGAAATATTCCCCAGTCACTGTCTTTCTCTTTGGATGAAGTAGCTGGCACTTACAGGAACTGAATGAGTTCTAGAAGGATCAAGTATTTCATACTATGATCAAGACATAATTGGTTACTATTTTTTTTTTTTTTTAATGGTCTATAGGTCCAATGGACTGTGTGAGACAGGGAAGGGGCAACAGCTGGAGAGAGGCAATCTTTGGATGGAAGTTTCTCCACCCCACAGCTTTTAATAGGTATTAATTGTCAATGAGGCTAAAGTACCAATCTTCTAGTCTAGTTAATTTTTGTTTCTTCTTTTGGGGACAGTTTTCTAATATGTTGCCCTGACTGGCCTCAAATGTGCTATGATGCCAGACTGGCCTTGAACTTGCAATCCTCCTGCCCCTATATACTGTGAATATAGAAATGAGCCACCTCTACCAGACATGAATATGGGAGTGGGAAAAATTAACCTGAGTTCTAAAAAGTAATTTAAAAAATTCCTAGTGTTACAGAAAATCCCAGGTCGAACAATAATTTCCTTCTGTTTTACTTCCACACAACCCCCTCCAGCAAGTCTCACAGAGGAACTTTGTCCCAGACTTTGATCCGCTGGTACAACCAATTATTACACGGGGCAATCTACTTTTTCCACTCCCTGAGATTCAGTTTATCTGAAATGGGCATAGTAATGACTTGTTAAACGACCTGGATTAGGTAGTCAATACATTGTAGATTGTGTAAAAAAAAAAAAAAAAGGTCTTTAAGCTCCACAGTCCAGGCCTCTGTCAAGGAGAGCTCGGCCTAAAAGGACCTGACGCCGGATTGTAGGATGTCTCCGGTCAACCCGAGCCCCAGACCAAAAGCGGTGTCCTCGGTGGCCACCACAGCAATACTGGCATCCCTAGACGCAAGTGCCCACCTGACGTGGGCGAGCCGCACCCGCCCGCGCCTCACCTCACCGTCCTCAGCGCCGCGCGCCTCCACCTCCAATCCTCCGCGGAGCCTCCAGAGTTACACCTCTGCGCACGCGCACAGGCCGTCTCTGCGGGCCGAGCGCACGCTCTGGGATGGCCCTCGTTGGACGTGCTGAAAGCTTTTGCTCCCAGTGCGGCCACCGTCGTTCGGGGAGGGCAGGCAGGAGGGGGCGGGGAAAAGGGTGGGAGTGGGTGAGCGCGCGCCGCCCGTCCGTCGTGGTTTCCTGGCTGCGCGCGGCGGTGGCGGAGTCGCCTCAGCTGTAGCAGCCACCGCGAAGATGGCGGAGGGGCTGGAGCGTGTGCGGATCTCCGCGTCCGAGCTGCGAGGGATCCTGGCCACTCTGGCTCCGCAGGCCGGGAGCAGAGGTGAGTTGCACCGCCCAGCTGCTGGGCCGGGCCTGCCCGCCCCGCCTCCTCCCCTCTGCCTCCTCCCCCGCCCCGTCCGCGGCGCTCCGAGCCCCCGCCCCTTCCCCCAACAGTGCGCCGGGGCCGGCGACGACCCTCGGCGAGTGCCGGACGGGCCCCGCTCGCTTGGGCCCTTGGGGCCGAGCCCAGCTCGAGTCCCTGCCTCCGCCCTCTTGCTCACCGTGGTGGCCGTGGTTGTTCCCCCTGTTCCAGCCCTCTCATCTCTGCTCCTGAATTCCAGTCTTGAGGAGACAGGAATTGGCGAAGGTGCTGGGTCCGGTAGAGGCCCGCGGGACGTTTTCCTCCCGAAAGAATCGTTTGTGTGCTTTCCGTACACCTTCGTTCCGCGTTGGAGAGGAGGAGCTGGGGACATCGAAGAGAAAGGCTTAACAGGCTAGGACTTCCCTTGCTCAACTTTCCCCCCGCAAGGCAGGCATCCACTGCTACGCCACTGGAGGGATCCAGGACCTCAGGGAGCTAACTCTGTTTTGTTTTGGTCTTGGCATGTGCGGGAGCAGTTCTGGTCAGAGAGAATGTTTAATTTGCCAGTCTCCATACGCCTCAGAAAAGCGCGAGAAATGTTTTAGTGTCTCACCTCCCTTCTTTCGTGTTGTTTAGGATGACAGTTAGTCGCAGGTACCTTCTCTAGGATTGTGGCTAGAATTTGTAAGGTTGGTTTTCATTGGCCAACTGAATTGGATTAACCAAGCTGTTTTCTGTCACTACTCTGGAAAATAGTAGTCACCACCTCCCCTGGCTCCGCCTCAAAACTAAGTTTAAAAGTTTACTGAGGCTGCTGAGGTTAAACGGCTTTATCTTGGTTTGCGTTTGGTGGAGAGGCTAAACTTTTGCCAAGGCAGCAGTATCTTTTTGTTGTCTTTCCTTCTTTCCTCTCCCCCACCCCCAGACTGCTTTGTAGACCAGGCTGTCCTTGAACGCACTGAGATCCACTTGCCCCTGCCCCACTAACGCTGGGATTAAAGGCATGCACCTCTATGCCCCGACGACTGTTGTTCTTTTGAGACAGAGTCTCACTTTGTAGCCCAGAGTGGCCCTGAGTTTGGATGATTCTCCTGCCTCAGCCTCCTGAGTGCTGGAATGACAAGCATGTGCCACCACATCCAACTTCCAAAGCATTGATTTAAAATTTCAGTTTCACTTTATTTTCCTTCCGCCTTCCCCTACTAACAAAAAGTGGGTACAGATGCTGGAGCGCAAGTACTTGCCATCAGCTTGTTTGCAGTTGTGTTCATATTATAATTCTGAACTAGGATTGTATATAACTTGAGCACTGGGTAATATTCTCACCACTTCCTGTCGCTGTCTCGTTAAACATTTAGTCTCTCCACTTTAAGCCACAGATACCTACAGAAAAACTGTTTATCATTCAGAAAGTTTGTGGATCTTGGAGTGAGGTTTATAGAATCCCTACTCTCTTTTCTTTTTCCTTTGTTTTTGAGACAGTCCAAGTTGGCCCCAAACTCTTTGTAGCTGGACATGGCCTTGAACTCCTGATCTTGCTGTTGTTTCCCAAGTGCTAGGATTTGTAGGCGTGGGTTTTACTGGGCTCTACTATTCTTGAGTTCCTTAGTTCTTTGGTACTTTGAGAACATGTCACAATACTTTGGTTGGTGCCTAGGAAAAGCACCCCTAGTGGAACTTTTTTTTTCTTATATTCTATCATCATAGTAGCAGTTAGTCTCAGTATTCTAATGCCGTAGTCTAGGCAGTATTTTCTTGAAATGATTCTGCTGGTTGTTGTTAAAGAGTTGGTGATGATGAGTGGATTTGAAGATTGTAAAAAGGACTGCTTACTTTTTGTTTCAGTAGGAGGTATGTGACTGGGTATTAGTATTCTAAAGTTGTGGATTTGTCCTGCTCAAGTTCACACACTGGAGTGGCAGATATTTTCCCAGAAGTGTGTAGGACTGTGGATTGATACGCATACCCCTTCTAAAATGTATATGTACTTGTAAATATATGTTTACATATGTGATATAGTAAATAAATATGACATAATATATGATAGATCCATAGCAGTAAATATGTTCATGCAATGCCGAGGATTGCCGCTAGTAGCCTCCTATATGCTAGGCAAATGCTGTACCACTGAGCCACATTCCCTGGTCCCTCCTAGAAAAATGTTAGACACAGGAGGAAGACTAAACCAGGGGTGATGACACACTCCTGCAGTCCCAGAGCTTGGATGGCTGAGGCAGGACTGTGGGTGTGAAGTCTTTGAGGAATATATATATATAGTGAGACCCTGACTCAAAAAAGAAAGAAGGGGTTGACTTACAGGCCCTATAGACAGAATAGTTTAATGACTGAATGTGTTAGAGATCTTTGATTCTGAAATAATGAAGTGTTTGAGGTCTTTGAGATCTGAATATGAATATGACTTGGGAAGGTCAAGAGATATGAACTCCCCCACCATTTCCTTAATCCAAGTGCATGTAACTCTAACACAGTTAAATACTTAGCCTCTATGGATTTCTGCCTTTGTAGAAACATTCTTCCCTGCCTACCAATATTACCATTTGGATATGTAATTTTTGCTCATTTTTGTTGTTGTTGTTGTTGTTATACAATTAGAATGACAACTTTTCCTCCCTCTCTTCTCCATTATTCTTCTTTTCTGTGTTGTTTCCCCTTGTCAACATAATAGAAAACATGAAGGAAGTAAAGGAGCCCAGGCAGCGCAAAGATAATAGGCGCCCAGATTTGGAAATCTATAAGCCTGGACTTTCTCGACTAAGGAACAGACCTAAGACTAAGGAGGCTTCTGGGAGTGAGGAATTTAAGGATGAGATTGTGAATGACAGAGATTCTTCTGCTGTTGGAAATGACACACAACTTATTAAGGCTTGCAAGGAATTGGACAGCCAACAGCAAAATGGTCCTACAGATCCAGAAAATAGTCAAGCACAGGAGACTTTCTCAAAGACTGTTGGACTAGAGGACCATAGTCTAAAAATCATCAAGAGAATAAAGAAACCAGACCTGCAGATCTATCAGCCTGGAAGGCGATTGCAGACTGTTAGCAAAGAGTCATCTAGCAGGGCAGATGAGGAGGAAATCCTCAACCAAGTGGAACAGTTGAGACTCGAGGAGGATGAGCATAAGGGGAAGGTTTTAAAAGAAGAAGTCCTGAGTAAACCAGATAAAACTGAGATAGAAAAGAACCAGACTAACGACAGAGTAAGAACTGCCAAGGGAGAAAAGGGGAAAAAGATTGAAAAGGGGGAGGGAACAAAGAAGGTGAGCGATGACTCTGTCCAAGGGAAGCCTGGTTCTGTAAAGCGGTACTCCCGATCGGACAAGCGAAGGAACCGCTACCGCACCTGCAGTACCAGCTCAGCTGGTAGCAACAACAGTGCTGAGGGAGCTGGCCTGACGGATAGTGGATGTCGGCGCCGGCGCCAGGATCGGACCAAGGAGCGACCGCGACTGAAGAAGCAGGTGTCTATGTCCTCAACTGACTCCTTAGATGAGGACCGAGTTGATGAGGCTGGTGGATTAGGGCCCAGGAAGAGCTCAGAAAGGAAGAAGCACTTAGAAAGAAGTTGGTCTGGTTGTGGCGAGGGTGAACAGAAAAGCAATGGTAAAGAAAACCGAGGCACGCTTCGTGTCACTTTTGATGCGGAAACCATGAGTAAAGATTCCCCCGTGGTGAGGTCAGCCAGGGAGAATGTGGATAGAATGAAGTCTGACAAAGGCCTAAGCACTGGCGGCAAGGGCTCTGAGAAGCAGGAGTTCAAAAACCCGAAGCAGGAACTCCGAGGTCGTGGTCGTGGCATTCTGATTCTGCCTGCCCATACTGCTCTGTCTGTCAGTTCACCAGGTTCTCCAGAGTCTACACCTTTGGGACCTCGACTTTTATTTGGATCTGGTAATAAGGGATCTCGGAGTTGGGGCCGTGGAGGCACGACCCGCCGACTATGGGACCCAAACAATCCTGATCAGAAGCCTGCTCTGAAAAGCCAGACACCCCAGCTCCATTTCTTGGACACTGATGACGAAATCAGCCCTACGTCTTGGGGTGATTCACGTCAAGCCCAAGCATCTTACTATAAATTTCAAAACTCTGACAACCCCTATTACTACCCTCGGACACCAGGCCCTGCCTCTCAGTACCCCTATACAGGCTATAGTCCTCTGCAGTACCCAGTGGGCCCTGCAAATGGTATGTATCCAGGGCCTTACTATCCAGGCTATCCTGCTCCCTCAGGACAGTATGTATGTAGCCCTCTTCCTGCTAGTACCATGAGTCCTGAGGAGATAGAGCAGCACGTGCGGAACATGCAGCAGCAGGAGCTCCATAGGTTTCTCCGAGTGGCTGACAACCAGGAACTACAGCTCAGCAACCTGCTTTCCAGGGACCGCATCAGCACTGAGGGCATGGAGAAGATGGCTCAGCTCAGGTATTGAGTGTTCTTGCTTAGAGGGAAATAGACAGCTATAAGGCTCCTATGGGTGAGGGAGGTAGAGACTTTTTGGGTAAGCCACTGAGTAGTCCTCCCTTTCACGGGAATCCCTATCCCTCGACAACCTCACTTGGGTATGGGCATCAAGCCTGGAGTTTTGTGCTTTGTGGAATAAGTGCCCTACCACTGAGCTACATTTGATGTCCCTTATATTGATTTTTATAAGGAACGGGCAGTTGGGAAAAGTAAGTGGTTTTTGTTTTTTTTTTTTAATTTATTTGTTTGGTTTTGGTTTTGGTTTTGAGATAGGGTGTCTCTGTGTAGCCTTGGCTGCCCTGTACTCACTTTGTAGACCAGGCTAGCCTCGAACTTACAGAGATCCACCTGCCTCTACCTCTGGAGTGCT